CCTAATTCTCAGGGACAATATTTCCATTAATCCACCTTTGACCTCAGCAATCTCTAAACTACTTTCAATTACTTCTTCCATCGGGCTATCGCAGTGGGCTAATTCTCCCACCCATGTAGCTGGCAATACCCTCGACCTCATTTTCTCTTATTCATGTACAGTATCTAATACCTGCAACACTCCATTTCCTCTCTCTGATCACCAACTCTTTTAGTTTGCTCTCAAGTACCCCCTCACCCAACAACCTCAGCCTAACCCCCCTCAACTCAGGAGGAACCTTAATTCTATTGTCCTCCAGCAGCTGTCAGCTAATATTGATTCACAACTGCTATCCATCTCTTCCTTCTCCTGTCCCTCACTGGCCATCTCCACATTTAACACTACCCTCACCTCGGCCTTGAACGCTGCAGCCCTGCTCCAAACATGCACCTCGAGGGGGACACATCCCCAACCGTGGCATACTAAATCTACTAATCTATACTAACACACTACCTGCAAAGTTGCTCCCGTTGTGCTGAATTCTCCTGGAGGAAGTCTCACACCCAGGCAGACTTTATAGATTCATATTGTGCTCACACAGCGCAGCTCTTGCCCTTGCCAAACAGTCATACTTTTCCTCTCTCATTAGTTCATGCTCCCACAATCCCAGGCGTCTCTTTGACACCTTTAGCTCTCTTCTTCGCCCTGCTGTGGCCACCCCCCAAACTAACCTTACAGCCAATAGCTTTGCATGCTACTTTACCAACAAGATCGAACAGCTAAGGAAAGAATTCTCCCCACCTTGCCGTTCTCTTTCTCAGCCACTCATAGATGCCTTTCCTACCCTCCAGACTTTCTCCCCGGCTACTAGAGATGGCTGCTTTTTTCCTTTCCTCTCGCCCCACCACTTGCCCGCTTGATCCTGTCCCATCTCACCTTATCAGATCTCTTTACCCATGTCTTGTGCCTTTCTTAACACACATCTTCAACTGATCTCTCTCTTCTGGCATTGTCCCTGCTGACCTTAAACATGCCACTGTAGTACCTACCCTGAAAAAAGAATCTCTTGACCCGTCCTCCCCCTCTAACTATTGTCCCATATCCCTGCTCCCTTTTTCCTCAAAGCTTGTGGAAAGACTTGTCTTTGCCCATGTGTCTCACTTCCTCAATTCCAACTCTCTCCTTGACCCTCTTCAATCTGGCTTCCGCCCTTTCCATTCTACTGAGATTGCTCTTATCAAAGTTACTAATGACCTAATCGCAGCTAAATCCAAAGGCCACTACTCCATACTAATTCTTCTTGACCCTTTCTGTGTCAGGAATACTAGTTGATCCAGCATGTAGAATTATATCACACCTAGGACTAAACGGTAACGTCTTACCGGGCCTTAGAATGGCCGGACTTAGCGTACATTTCCAGGGTATTTAGGGACTGACCCCACAACGCATCCAATTGTGACGTTAATGTGGGCAGTGCGCCCTTTAACATTGAGAACGGGACTGCAGCGGCCGGCGGCCCTTTGAACGCCACACCAGCTGGGACACGTCTTCATTGAGGATCGGGCAGCACTCCGCCGTGATCCAGGTAAGTTAATTTTTCCAGTTTCAGTGCGACCGCCCTGCTCATGTGCGGCCGCGCCGATCAGGGACTTCCTTTTATTAGAAATATCAGCGCGGCCGCACTGATCAGGCGCAGCCGCGTCAATCCTAGCCCCTTGTGCCATGACAGTTAGTCTCTTTGGTAAGGGCAGTTTCAATAGAATATAGAGAGTGGAAGACAGATTGAAGAGGGTCAAGGAGAGAATTAGTATTGTGAAAGTGACCAAAGACGCTTAGAAGTGAAGGGGAGTAGTGACGGTAGCTAGAAGGAGAGGTAGGGTAAAAATGGGATTAACAATTGCATGTTGGAATGAAGAAGGGAAGATATTAGGAAACAATGAGATGTTAAACATTAGTAGTGGGACCAGACTAAGGGAAATAAATAGACAAGGTGGGAGAGGTGGGGATCAAGAGGGTATGGGGTTGCGTGAGAGGACAGGAGAAGTTTAGAGACTTCTAGCTAAGAGACAGGGGAAAGGAGTTAAAATTAGAAGAAAGTATAGAATAAAAGGCGAGTATTGGAGTGTGGAGAAAAAAGAAGAGATAGGGCAGTCCTAATTTGGTTAAACTTCTTACTAAAGTGACATGCATAATCCCTAGCTGTGAGGCTAATTAATGGTAGGGTTGCAGTGGGGTGAAGAATGGAGTTAAAATTATAAGAGTAGGTGTTGATGAGAGAGGTAAAATACTCTTGTTTGACAAGGGAAAGGGTGTTAGAAAGACTTTCTCTGCCTTGAAAGACTATTCACTAAAACAGGCTTCATCCCATAAGGATAAGACTTTTAAAATACCAGGGGGCATTGGGTGGAGGCTTAAGATTAAATAATGTTCACCCCCTTGTCCACCCATGTCTTAACCTGTCCACCACCTCCTCCATGTCTTGTGGCGGTGGACTCTATAAAAAAGACATGGGTGAACTTGCTAAATCCCATTGTCAACACAGTCCCAACCCATGGGCAGCAGGTGGGGGATACTTTTATATTAATAGGGTACATTCTATTTTCCAATCCATCTCCAACCAATGGGAGGTGGATGGAGGCTATTTAATAATCATTTGGGTGGAGGACATGCTACTTTCCACCCCCCAACCATGAGCTTCAGGTTGTGCTAATTAAATAAATGGAGGTGGACATGCTACTGTCCACCCCCCACCCATGGTCTTTGGGTGGAAGGATATTAATGACAATGACATGTCCACCACCCACAAAATATAATGGGAAAAAAACAACAATTGTCTTAATGGTTAAAATCCCTATAAAATTAGCTTTTATTTCTGTTAGTGACATTAGGCTCTGGGGTTTATCACTGTGCCAAATTGATAAATTCCACATGATTTAAAAAAAAAAAAAAAAACAACTATCAAAGTGACTTTGTGATAGAAACATCTTGATATTTGAAATCAATTGTTTAACCATAGGCAGCTTTTTCAAGGAAGGTTAAATAAAGTTGAGACATAGCATTATTGATAAAAGTACTCACGCATGTATTGAAACACATTATCTCTGCTCATTTAAAGGACAATCCTCTGATGCTGCCATCGGTCACTATGATAAGTACAGTCAGCGTTAACTTCTCCAATAATAGTCAAAATAAACAGATTGTCAATATTGGATATGACTAAAAAAATTTGCTAATTACTTCTTTAGCTGTACAAATTTCCAGTAGGAAGGACAGTTTATCATCAACAACACTTGTATTCAATTACTTCTGTAAAGATTATGTTGGAGTACAAGGTGAGACTAGATTAGAAATAAAGATTTCTTGACCTTTCGTGAGAACCATTTGCAAACATATTGTTAGAAATATCTTTTAATTTAATGCCTGTTGTATGTTAAATATCCAGATACAGTCACATAGGGGCATTCAGTCTGCTGCACTTTTGAATTCCATTATATATATATATATATATATATATATATGCCATTACATATTGGTTAGAAATGAGGCATTACCCTTTTCACTCCCAAAAACATGTCTACACATTTTCCTCTCATTTACTTTGCGAAAGGAAATTTCATCCATAAAACCTCACTCACTCTCATTTTTACTCCAGGAATGATATCCAACCCATTGTGGAATTCATTTCTCTGCCAGGAGCCCATTCCACTCATTTAATGTCTACAAGTGTACTGAAAATGTCACGTAGGTGACACAATTCTTACAATTACCATTTCACTGAAGCATTCTATAAATATTGCAATCCCATTTTTTTTTACATATATTTACTTTAGAAATATATGAGTAAAATTGTATTTACTGACGCATAGCGGTGATTAAAATGAATATCCTACCACGGCTGCTTTACTACTTTAACACCATTCCCTGGCACATACCATCAGAATTTTTCGCAATTCTTAAATCGGCAGTAATAAAATACGTCTGGAAAGGAGGGAGAGCAAGACTCAGCTACGACAAGCTATGCCTACCCAAGAACTGGGGCGGACTAGCGTTACCCGATATACGCAAATACTTCCAGGCCGCGGTCTTACAACGGATTAGGGATTGGCACGTAGGGTCCGAAAAACAAATTGTGGGCTGCACTAGATAGAGAGAGCACAAACAAAGCCCTCCACATTAAAACATGGCAAGGCTCAGCAGACGCGGCATCAAAACTAGGCAATTTATCACCCATTGTACAAACGCATGGTCATCCTTGAGACGGAACCAACACCTCTCCCCACAACCGAGCCCATTGATTCCGATAACACACAATACTGCGATAGGTGGGGGGCTGCACCGATCTGCTTGGCCGATAGAGGGAGATTATATCCCGATGTCCGAGGTCCTGAGCAATACCGGATTGAGAAACCTGTGAGAGTGGAGTACGACGACACAACAGACTCTGATGCACAGATTTCGGTACACACAACTGCGGCATTTCTATTTCAACCTCCCCAACAGGGTAGCGATTCACAGAAAGCAGACGTGGTTCGAAAGCCTCTGCGTGACCAACACAGGCACGGATGGTAGGGTATCACTCATCTACCAACAATTGATAACGGGAGACCACACACGGAAAAATGTGTTTAAGAGGCAGTGGGAAGAGCTGACAGCTAGGACGTACACTGAGGCACAATGGGAACAGATATTAATATTGCAGCACAAGAGCTCCATAAGCACCAGGTATCAGGAGGTCAACTTTAAACTAATCTCTCAATGGTACAGGACCCCAACTTTACTACACAGAATTTTCAGGGGAACCACGGATACATGCTGGAGGTGTGAATCCCAAACAGGCACCCTACGGCACATCTGGTGGGACTGCGAGCTAATTAAGCCATATTGGGAGGACATACAGAGGGAAATAACGATAATCCTAGGAGATCTGCCGGACTTTAGCATAGAAATGGCCCTACTGCATTAAACGGAAGGCTCGATAGCCCAATACAAGCGATCGATATTAAGGCACCTGCTCAACGCAGAGAAAGCATCTATACCAGTCAAATGGAAACAGACTCAACCACCGACCGTCACGGAGTGGCTACAGAGATTTGAGGAAATACACACGGCCGAGGCGCGGTACGCAGAACTAATAGGGAGAAGCACCAAACACGTCGACATCTGGACCCCATGGTATTTATACCTTTCACGTCCCGGAACTAGGGAGACATAGCACACACCATAACACCTGGGGTTTGAGAGTGCTCGGCGCACCCCGACACATGCTGTCCTTCACATTTCTCCCACCCTCCCACCCCCCTGTCCCCTCCTTTCCTTTTCCCCACTGCATCTAATCGACTCCACGTAACTTTCTTGAGGTTCCGAGCGGATGCGGCTTGACCTGCGCCCGAGGAGGCCGGAGCTGGGAGGATCCGAGCGAGTCGCTACACGATATATAGCCACGACACGAAGCAACTTCCATAGATACGAGTCATCGACTTACATAACAGCTGCCTGAGGGAGGTGGAACGAGGCCAGACACATAGAGAACTAGTTCTCAAAGCAAGACACAATTAACTGACGGGAGGATAGGAACTAAACATCTGTCCCATGACGGACTGGGGGACTAGACGCAGGCATAACGTACACCTGATCAGGGGGATATACGAACAAACAGAAACAGTCAAGCTAACGTTTCTTACAAAATCCTCCTTTGGGGCCACTCTCTATAAGAGATCCCTGGCTAACGCTCAGATTTGGGGAATCGCTTTCTCAACAGCAACATGTGAGAAACTGGAACCCGAATTATCGATTCCATTATGATAGAATTAATTAAGCGAATAATTTCCTATACTAAGCTTACTAGCCTATGTGCCAACTATCACTAATCATTGACGCAAATGCTTCTCTGCTCCACGTGTCACATATTTTTGGTAATAAAACTACTACCCCGTCTTTTCCGTCAGACCAGTAAGCTTAAATCTACAGCAGAATTTTATAGTTTGGTAGGATATAACCACTCGTTTTTACCTAGCCTGTCATTATTGCATTTGCTTCAGCTTCAGAAGTGCGCACTCACCTACAACTGTTAAACCGATCTACACCTTAATGATTGCTGTTATGACACTTGCAAATGTCACGTAACCGAAAGACACTAATGCTCATTATTTGTATCATTATTCATCTTATTCCTATGCCATGTACACTGTTGTGGTGTATGTATGTATTTTGTACTCACCTGAACGACAAAAATAAAGAATTTACAAAAAAAAAATTGTATTTACTGTATCAGTAAATTAATCTGAAATTCAAGCATTATTTAAAATTTGTTTTGCCATTTTCAGCTAGCTCTATAGCTAGTACTGCCTTCAAGATTTTTAAAAATACCTATAAGTAAGCTCTGTCTGTTCTATGTGAGAAAAAAATATATATTTGTTTTATACCAATATTTCATAATCTGTGTGAAAAATTAGGAAAAGAAAGATAATGGACACTGTTTACTGTCTAAAGCTTTTTATTAAGAAACCAAAAAAGAAAAAAACCTAGAAATCAGAGCGCTAATACTGTAAACTGTGAAAATATATCAGAATAAAAAAATGAACCCAAATTGATCAAACAGGAAAACAGGGAAGAAAAAGACCCCTCCCATTTACCTTTATGGAACTAGAACGCCAAGCACAGGAACTCCAAATCCTCATTTAAATATAGCAAAATAAAAGAAATGCCAAAAACAAGCGCTCCAAATCAACAAAGGAAAGTTTAATCCATAAAGTGCAAAAAACAGACAAACAGGGGGAAAAGATAAAAAAACACGTTGCACTTTTTGGACTTACAGGTCCTCAGTAATAGGAGTCCTATGACTAGGGACTTGTAGGTCCAAAACACTAGCGAGAGTAATTGAAGATACTGGTTTATGAGCTTTCATGTATGAGACCTATATCTGATCAGTCGGGGAGTAACGTAAAGGGGACATAACTGATACATAATGGTGTCAAGATTTGTTAAGATTTGGAACACAAATGCAGATTAAATAACTTACTTGTAGTGAAGCTATTATAGAAGAGGCAGCTTAACTTGAGTCTTGCCGTCTTCCTTCCACCCTGGATCAGCTTCTGTCCTCCAGGACAGTGTGGAAAAGACCTCTCCTCCAGGAGAGCGTATCAGGAACAGCTCTTAAAAGAGCTAAGTGATTAGAGCTCAAGGGAGTATACAAAGTATAGCAATCCTCAGTGTGATTATAGCAGTTCCCCTCCAATCACGAGACAAGACTACATGTTGAATGTCAAACAGGAACAGAATGAACTGAGGCTTTATTGTCTCTTTTATACAAGTTTTCCCACAAGGTTACCACCCATGTGGACATTGCGGTACACAGGACACAAAGTTACAAAGCCAATCAAAACACTCTTATACAGTTAGGCACTCCCAGATAATGTACACAAACCCTCCCCTTTGCCTGTGATACAATTACCAAACACAATGGACTAACTCAATTATCCACAGGCAGAAAGAAAACATTTTTCACAAAACACAGAAAATACCCCAAAACACCACATATCCCCACAAATACATTCCTGGATAGCCCTGATCTGGGTGAACAACATATCCAAAAATCACCCAGATCAGAGCAGGGGTTCAAATGTTTTGTGGAAGTCACATTTGACCGACACAAGCATTACTTTCATGCCCAAAACAGTTCCACAGATTTAGGCTGTGCGGCTGGTCTATCTTCTTCTCTATCCTGGAGATAATTGGCTTAAGTGGCTGTGGTAAGCCAATTATCTCCAGTAACAGGAAATAGCTCTAAGTCCAAAAACTGTTACAAAAACCACATAAAGATACATAACTCTTATAATACAATGCTTAACCTATATGTCCAACATATCTCCAGATAGCTTGGATCTGAGCGCTCAATATGTTCGAAAAGCACTCAGATCTCATGAATACAGTTGGATCGCCATGGGGTTAAACAATAGCAAGGGCTGATGAGAGATTGAGGAGGGACAAAGCAGCCAGTTTCAACTAGTCTGGCAGTGTCCCTGGGACAACGCCCTGCTGGAGAACAATAGACAGGAAAAAGAGGAAGGGGAAGAGGCACATTTTCCCATGGATTTAAAGGGGCAGAAAAGTGTTTTAAAATCCAATAAGTCACAGGGGCCATAATCACAATGCAAAAGGCTAGCCATTAGTCCTCTCCAAAAACAAGTGGCAAAGGGCACTTCGTCACACTTGATGTCAATTCAAATGTGAGTTCAGGGTTGGAGAAAGCAACATAGTTATACTAGCAAGGTTGGTAACAATTCAGTATAGCAAAGTGAGCTCAGGGAAAGTGCGGCAGCATTCAGTAGCAACAAATTAACTGAGCAACACACTGTTGCACCAGGCTGTCTCTTAACAAGGAAGTTGTTAGCACATGTTCAGTGGAGGTGTGGAAAATGAAGAAGTTGGAGCTAATGAAGACATAATGGAATGATCATGAAGAGGTAAGTCCTAATGTAAGAAATTATGACCCTTTTACAAGGTTATTCTTTAGGCAATCTGTGACCAATAAGACACAAAAGTGTCTTTTGATACGTAAATAATTATTAACTAGCATTTATATAGCGCCTTTCTCCCAGTGAGACTCAAAACACTTTGTATTGAACTGCAGAGACATTATTTATGCATAGCAACAATTCAATCTTCCCCTTTTCAGACTATGGATGGCAAATGACCCTGCTAGGAGTTCCTGGAAAGTAATGTGGAGATGTTCTTCCTCCCCTGACCAAACTTCCCCGTAGAGGCGGCTGTGTTGGAGGCAACCCAGATTCAAAGGCTGGCACCTGACTCAGGACAAAATCTGATTGTGGAAATATAGCTCACCCATTCCAGGCTTGCATATTCAATATCCACCATTTCAGTTACAATCTCGCTTAAGAGAAGTTGTGTTGTAAAAGGGTGCTCAGTTAAGATATTGCTTGGCTCTGTAGTGGAGAGGCCCTAAGAATATGGCCTGAATGGTTTGCTTGCTCCCTCCTGGTGCCTTATTGCCAGCAGGGAAGTTTCCCTTGGGGAGTATTCAGAATCATCGGAGTATGCTGAGTAATAAGTGGATGGGTTAGAAGTCTTCATAGGTTTAGCCAGTTCTGGCAGTTGGGAAAACACTTTTTAATGTGCTTGTTGAGTGCATTTTTATGGACTGCAGATAAGCCAGATGTGACTGAGCCTCTTCCATGTTGAATGATTATAAGTTTTCTTTTCTTCCAACTGTTTGCCAGTCTCCAGCCTAGGGTGAACAGACTCGGGCTTACTGTAGGCTAGAGAGTGGCGAACAGACAAATTGAGAGCAGTGGCAGTTGGGAGGATATAGTACAATCAGATACATTAAGAAAGTATTAAATAACCAAGAACATTTTCTCCCCACAGAAGAGGGGCACAGTACTCTGGCCTGTGGCCTGTTGGAGCAGCAAAGAAAGGGGAGATGCTTAATGTATACACACCTTATATACATTTTGCTGTGTTGTGATTCGTTGACTGTTACTGTAGTTTTTTTTTTTTTCTTTGCTGCTGTTTGGAGTGAGTAAAGGAAGATAAGCAAACAACACGGCTCCCTTTCATTACTAAAATTAGTGTTCCCTGGTCTTTATAACATTTTGTTAAGTTTTGTAAAAGGATATATGCCATTTTTATTTGTATGCATTATATTGTTATGTCACAGCAAATTCTACAGTATTATAATAGATTGTGTATTGATCAAAATGTAATATTGTATAAACCCCCTTTCATTTTTATGCAGTTTTTCCCCCTTTTATTGTATTTATTTTTGTTAAATATTTATATTGAATGTTCTATAGTTTTTGTAATTCAAATAAAATTTGAAAAGGAGAAAGAAAATGTCTTATTGAGGAATATAGGCAGGAATTTTTTTGATTGAGAATGGTGGCTAGGGGCTTGAGTACATCTTGCCACTCCAATCTGGAATTGGGGCTGGACAATGGCCAAAATTGGGAGAGAGGGGTGGACAATGGTATGTCCTCCCCCTTGGATATGTTGTTAGCCCCAATGCTTTGTCTAGGGTGGGGTTTTGTGCGGGGGACATTAGGTCCCCTCAGGTATTGTAAGATAAATGCCCCCATTACTATAGCACACACCACTTTTAATAAGAAATTGACCAGTTTTTGTGGCCTGGAAGACTTTGGGGTGCCCCCTTTTATGTATTTAACAGCCCCCACCTGCCCCCATTGACCATGCTGACGGTGAAGACCATCAAAAT